ATATAAACAAACAACAAAGCCAGATAGGAATGAGGTCAGGGTAGTGGTGTTGGAAGACTGTCGATTATCACGAATTGGTGACGAAGCGTCTAATGCTCACATAAGTGAATGTTGTTTGGGGAGGGGTGGTAATATTTACAATGTCCGCTAGGCTTGGCCTAGACTCAGCGCAAAATTGTTGGGGGAGGATAGCAGTAGTGAACACTCCTGTATTTAGTATGTGTTTTTAATTAGGGATGGTTATCCCCTGAAATGCGTTCCTTTTAAACTGCGTCCTAATATCGAACTATGAATATTTGTATGTGCTTGAAATTGCTCAATTGCAGTAGTATTTTAAAAACTTTTTATGTTAGAAATATCAAATTAAATGATCAAATTATTATACATAAAACCGTACATACCACAATTTGAACAAAACATATTATTTAGGAACATACCTGCAAATAAATAAAAATACAACTTTGGTTAATCGATTTGATTTTTAAGGTTATTACTGTGAGGAGTATTACACAGAATGATTTTAGTAGAGAATATTTTTCTTGGGCATTTTTATTTAATAAAATATAATTTTGTAGGCAGTTGCGAAAACTCTTGAACCATTATTATTCCCCAGTATTAGGGAAATGCACATGGGAACCATCATCATGGGTTTCGTAAGCAACGTATAAGTCGACATCTAACACCGTTCAATTGAGCGATTTAGGAGTCGTATAAGTCGACGACTCCTAAATCGCTCAATTGAACGGTATTAGCAGTAACGGTGTCATACTGTTACAACCATTTGAAGGTCCTCGAAAATCAAATGCATGTGTGGACTTCAGTAATAACTGAAGTTCCCGAATAAGGAGTCGAAAACCTGTTGTGAAACACGGAGTTGCCCCTTTCCGGTATCCCACGCCCTCCAAAGATCGTTACGTTTGCGAATTATTGTACGGCCTCGAAATACATCTGACTGAGCAGATCGCTGGACATACAATTCCGACCGCCAACTTCCTCAAAAAAATTGTTTAAATCGTCCATTCAAGTCGCAGTTATCTGCTATAAACTGAGGTCGCTTAGGGCGCATACAAGGGCACTTTGTAGACTTCTCCCAAAACGATAGGCCGAACTGGGGTTCGATATGCGATGCGGGTTTGATAAGCGAATTTCAGTAATACTCAAGAAATAAGTATTCAGACCTGTCAAAACGCCGACCTGAGAACTGCAACGAAGATCCTTCCCTGGTATGGTAGGGTAGTACATGCTTGGGTGCATCAGAGTGTGTCATGATACAGTCTATCTCTATTAGATCTTATAATATCTATTGTACTCATTTGGTACCATTTGTACACTTTTAGACCTATCTCATAACAACTCTAAACTTTACTTCCACTCAGTTTTTTTTTAATTCTATTAGATCTATTCGTTCTCTTTTTCATTGTTTACTTATCCAAATTTCATTCATCATTTCCGCATTCGGTATAGTTTTCAAAATAGACGATGCGATGTAAGACGCTTTACGACGCTGCCGCAAAATTGGTTGAGCAAATTGACATGCCTCTCTTTCCCACTCTCTATTTCTATAATTCTTTTGAGGGGGTTATTGATCTTGACTTGAATGGTCTTAATTAACACATTCGACGGCAGCAGAATTAGCCGATATGTATACGGCGACAGAGGCATAGGCATACAACGTATACGGCAGCAGCATACAACACACATTTGTCAAAATAAACAAACAATGCCCTAAAAACCAGCCAAACCGCCAGCCAGTAAAACAACCTAGCGAAATTTGTTAGAGTTTATGGTCTTCTTTGTTATTTCTATCGTTGATATGCATTTACCTCCATTTTCCGTCTAAGGCGAACTAAATAATAGCACACCAGAGGGAAAGGGTGGTCGGCAGCCACACTAATGCCGAAAATGTGATAAAAACAGACAAAGTGGAACGCAAAAAAGAAAAATAGAACACAGCCAGCAACCAACCAGCGGCATATAAAAATAACGGTGGGATAATTTGCAAACAAAATAGAGAGGAGCATAGACTACTCACAGAAATCTAAAATAAAATTATGATTTGAAGTGTGTTTTTCTAATGAGCATCGGAATATTCGAGATGGTAAATTTTTGTAGTGAAGACAAGCATAACTGTACCAGAGCTTTTGAAATTTTTGGAAGGCTGATATGTTAAAAAAATTAGGAATAAAGTGATGAAAATCAGTGCTGTAGAAAAGTAATAATAAAACGGTCCTAAGTACGGTATGTGTCAGTAACTGGATGTTTACTGTATGTCAACTAATGTAACTTACAATTACTAAAACTAAATATGAACAAGTAAAAACAATATTAAGTTCGCCCGGGCTGAACTTTGTATTGCCTTCACCATAGGCATACTGACATTTACTTTAAATGAAAATAGAAGGAACATATCAAAAAGTGGACCTATACCGACAATTGCACCAAGCGATTGTTGCAAATCCTAATGTACACCGCCGGGGGCCGCCGGTTCGATATGAAATGTTCATTACAGAAATACTTTTTTTGTATGCTATCGTACAGCGGGACCAATATTAATTATGGTTACCATTATATGAGAGCTATAACTTATTTAGAACCGATATAGCTCAGTTTCGAACTTAATCTTTTAGTTTTTTATCTCAATACCTTCCTTCACGATAAATATTAAAAATAGCGAAAATCGGGAGGTATCAGGTATATACGGGGCCAGTCCTAAATGCCGGCCGACATATTTCATTCTCCACACTGACATTATAGTTTTTTATCTCGACATCCTCCATAGGTAAAATGATTACAAAAGATGACAAAATCAACTTAATTATCAGTTAAAATTGCCAATTAATTATGTTAACATAAAAAATTACGTTATATGGGGACTATCACCCAAAAGGTGGTGAAAGTTAATAATTTTTTATGTTACCAAATACGAATTGGACGATACCGTTACATGAAAAAGTGGACCTATTTATAATTTTAAGTGTACCCAATAAGAACACAAAATACCGAATTAAAGCGATTTTGGTTGAAAACTCGCTCAAAAATCCCCTCAAAATACAGAAAATTGGGAGGTACACCCTTATTTGGGGGCTATACCTAAACATGAGCATATATTTTTTTTAATTTTTATTCGTTTCGAAAACGAGCCCAAAAATGCCAAAATACCGAAATTTTGGACTGCCCGAAAAAAAATGGACCGTTATTAATAATTTTTTAATTTGTACTAAAAAATTTGGAACTATTTCGAACTTTACAAAAACTAGCCCCCAATATCAACCCTTATCAAAATAAAAGTTCTGAATTAAAGCTCAATTCGTTCATCAATCACTTAATGTACTAATTTTAGTACCAAAAAACTGCCGTCAGGGTTTCAGCTTTTTGCATTCACACAATAACAAAGGTACCGAATTTAGTATTTTTTTTTTTCGTATAAATACATTCAAAAGTACAAACAGTACTCTCCATTTAAAATTTGAAAATTCTAAAAATTTGGCACCTCCAATCTGCGCTCCATAAAAAACACGCAGCTCATATTTTTGAAGCCTTGTTCTATTTCATACCTTTCGTTCGAATTTCCACAAACCCTGCCTTATCCCATACCTATGCACCTAAACTGAACCACATAGAAAAATTTCAGGATTTTGACTTTCACATATGAAATATCAAGTTTCCAGCTTCGCCCGTTTTGTCAGAATTTCAAAACTATACGTTCGAGCTGGCACAATATTTAGTACTTTTGTAGTCTCGCTCGCGATGTCAACAATACACTGTTTCTTTATGCTTCGAACCAAAGATTTGCCACCTGAAACTACTGTCAAAAATTAAGATCCAAAATGAAATTTCAATAAAAACTAAGAGACTTTTTGAACAATTAACAAGAGGCCTCCTCTGGTCTAAATTTTCATCTGGATTTCATTTCTAAGATTTAAAAAAAAAAAACAAATTAAAATTTTTCGCGATCGATAAAGCGATCTCGATTTGAGATATTCACATTTTAGAGCCATTTATAGACATAGAAAAGAAAGACAAAACAGAGCCATTTATAGGCCGGCCCAGAAACCCTCTTACCACAATAGGCTAATCTTTCCATTCCTATATATTTCAACCCGATTTTTTGTTCAAAAATAAAATATGTATAGAATTGCCTAAACGAATTTCTGGCCCACAGTGCACAATAACTACGTATATTGCTATACAACTATCATGAATGGGCCGGTGTTCTTACCACTACTGGGTTAAGGTAAAATAAGTTTGTAATTCTTACAGACAACGACGACGTACATACTGACGAAAACTAGTGTGAAGACAACAAAAACAAAACAACAATTTTCAGTTTCAATGACAACAATTCCACCAAGGGATTGGCATGGCGGGCGGCGGTAAAGTAAAGTACAAGGAAGTCGCGGCAAGGAAGAAACAACACAAATGGTAACACAAGCAATAAATTAAACATCACGAATAGAAATAAACGTCAGCAGAAGAAAGCTAATGTGAACCTAGAAAGGGGGGGACGACAGGCAGGCAGGCGGCAAGCAAGGCGTAGCCGAATAGAATAGAGAACAAACTACGGCAGCAACGCAAAAATTCCAAGTTATGGCAGCCAGAGCTAGAAGAATATGTGGAAGAGCCAACAACAAACAAATGAACTGAACAGATATGAGAACCACCAGCAAACCGATGAGCAACGAGAACAGCAGCAATAACAACAACACCGAAGTTAGCAAACGTCTACGATTGCGACGTTGACGTTCGCAGTGGCTGGCTACCAACGACTTGTTTCGTGGACGCAATGTTCGGCACTGATGGTGATGATTTCATTTTGAATACCGCCGAGGTTAAATGTTTAGTTTAATTTTTGAAGTCCAAGCAAGCAGACGTATAAAGTGAAAAAATTAAAAACAAAAAATATCTAGAAATTGCAAACAAGAAGAATTTAGAGAAAAGAAAAACAAATCAAGTGTAAATACACATATAGAATAGAAAAGACGTGTCTTTTCCCCAAATTCGTACTTAAATCCAAATTAAACCCAAGAAACCCTACTGACAAACAAAATGTCTCAGAAACGTGTTACCATGAGCACCAGCCGTGTATCGCGTGCCTCCACCTCAACACCCCAAGGGGGTAATCGTTTGGGCGCCGCTAGCCCCACCAGTCCTACCCGCACCAGCCGTCTCCAGGAAAAAGAAGAGCTGCAACATTTGAACGATCGTTTGGCCTGTTACATCGATCGCATGCGTCACCTGGAAAATGAAAACAATCGTTTGACCCAGGAATTGCAATTGGCCCAGGACACAGTTACCCGTGAAGTGTCCAACATTAAGGCCTTGTATGAAAAGGAATTATCGGCTGCCCGTAAACTGTTGGATGAAGTGTCCAAGGAAAAGGCCAAATTGGAAATTGACATCAAACGTTTGTGGGAGGAGAACGATGAGTTGAAACAAAAGTAGGTATTCCCAAAGAAAAGGAAAATGGTAAACAAGTATTAAATTTAATTGTAAAATATCAAAAAAAAGTAATGTTAAACAGCTGTGCATGGAAGAGAGAAGCGGGTAGCAATGGCCCTCAAATTTCTTAGATTACATCTGTTTCAAGGGTACCCCCCATATGGCCGCCAATATAAGGCCCGAATGAACCAAGTACACCCACATTTCGGATTTTGTCGATTTGTGTTATTTTTTTTTTTATTTTGTTTATATACACCACCCACACACACACACTCAAACAAATGACCACATGTTGTTGTTTTTGTTGTTGCTGTTATTGTTTTTGGACTAAAGCCCTTTGGTTTACTGACGTGTCAGCAGCTATGTATGCATACTTGCTGCCAGCTGTGTAGTCGTATTTATGGAAATATAGTTCAGTGGTGTATGATGTCATGCCTCTTGCTTGTATGTACCAACACGGCATTGTTGTCGGCATCTCTATAAAGCTCAACATGTTCAATGAATTATTCCCCCCACCGCCGCCGCCCTCTTCATCAACTAAAACTGAATAAATTCCAAAAAAAAAAAAATGTGGAATGAAGCAACAGCAGCAGTAATGAAATAACATGACCAATGATGTCATTCGTTATTTTTTTCGTTTTATATTTTCATTCTATGAAATTGTTGTATTTTTTGGTTTTGTTGTTCTCTAAAAACGCAAAGAAACACCAACTTCACACATTTGCTAATAATATTGGCTGACTGCGATGGCAGCACCAACCATTTTCTCATGAGCTCACGCCGCCGAAAGAGTAAAACAGTGTTAAAGCGCAGCAACAGAGCTGTCAGTCAGTCAGTCATAGCTGCAAGGCGAACAAGTAAATAAACAAAGCTATAATAAAAAAGAATAATAATAACAACAATAACAAAGCAACAAGTTTGAGGTGTAATGAAGGGGTGTTATTGTGAAAACTATTCGATTGTCAATTGGTAGGAATTACAAAAATCCCAATATGGAGAATATTTAAAAACTTTGTAGGGCTTTTAATTAAATTTTCAGAATTTTTTTTTTGTTTGAATTATATTAAAATCGCATGGTGTAATAATAGCCCAGATGATGATTTTATACTACGATAACAAATTTTGCTTTATAATATCGCAACAAATTAAAATTAGTAGATTCTTGCAGTTGTGCAACAGAGGTTTATTATTTTGTTATTTCGTTTTATTAAATAACCTTCTTCCAGAAATTTGTCAATGTATATTCTGGCCCAATTTGGGTATTTTTTTAGGTCCTAGATTTTCCGAAATCGCCGATCGATTTTCAAAAGATAAAGCAACATCCTAACAGAACATATTCAACGTTAGTCAATGAATTTTGAAGGCGTATTTTCCATTGAGGTGGCTTTCATTTAGCATCTCAGGCTCTCAGACGATAAAATACATCCTTGCAAACAATTGCTTTTATAGGTTCAAGTTTTATTGTAACCGTAACCTTCACATAATTACCCCCGTTTTAGGTATTTTTAAGTCCTAAGTTTCTTATATTTTCAAAAGGTTCCGAACGATTTATTTTCCACCCAAGGAAAATGCAAATTGGCGTTTTTATTAATATACAATTACAATTTGGCCTTGAATCCAATATTTCTAAGTATGAAGACAGGTTCATTAATTTATGGCAAAAGCTTTGGCAATTTATTTCAATCAAAACCCGAAATGTTAAACCTTCAGTCCTTTTTGTTTGTTACTCGTTGGAAAATATTTTTTATTCTGGGCGATCTTGGTCTTAAATTTTGTGAATATAACTAGTTGTGGACTGGTAGTGGACTACTGGACTGGTCGAAAACAACATGTTTGAATACTTCATATTCACCAAATGGCCATTCCACAAAAATTTATCAATTCACTGTTAAGATATTTCATTGCTTTCCCTATGAAAAATGTTCGTCACAAACGAATGTCCCGCCATTTTTTATGGTTCTTCTTCTATCCATTCTACAGTTTTATTTGTTTTTGCAATGTTTTTGTTTACATTACACGGCTAGAGCGTTTAATAAACTATATTAGAGTGGAAGATTAAAAAAAAAATTCTGTAATTAAATATCTTATATAGATTCAATCTAGAAAAAATAACCTATAGATATATATATACTTTTTCATATCCTATGTATGCATTATTGTTGTTGTGTAGTAGCCCCATTGCTTTTACACAATGGAGTTGACAGAGAAAGACTCAGGTCGTTTCGGATAGTAGACCCATCTGTCGTGGAAACAACTTTTCTGATCTTTTGTCTGTAAGATGATAGTTATTATTACAGTATCCAAAAGTTCCGAAAACAAATATTTGCCTTTTATTTGGTATCATTTATAGCGAAAATTTTTGCCGGTCCCAATTAAACTGATTTCAATCCAAAATGTGAGAAATAAATATGTAATCTCAATTTTTAGATTAAATTCATATCAATGTTTTCAAGAAAAAAATAATAATACATATAGCAAAAGAAATTAAGAGTTTGACAAATTAAGTTGAAAGAAAGACAACAGGTTTCTAATTGAAATATTTGAGTTTAGCAATTAATATACTTGATAATACCAGTTCTACTTTATATTCAATATTCCCGGTTTTGTTTTGATATTTTGTTTTAATAATCAATCCAAACCCACAAGCCACAAATATTTGTTGTTGTTGATGATGATGGTGGTGTTCATTTAACTCTGAAGGTCATCGCTTGTCATGGACAAGAAGACTACACATCAATTATACAGACGCCCACCACAACACAAAGTACCAAGGGACGTATTAGTATTGTAACTCGAGCCCTTTATCTATGGCGGTGGGTCGGTCTACCAAGGCCAACATTTCCAATGTAAATAGATTCCAATGTTTTTTACTTTGTGCGTTTTAGATCAATTTGTGGGGAAATGATGTCAGCTTTATGAAAATAAACAAAAACAGCCAAAGGTTCTCTATTTTACAACAAATTCACACGCATATACACAAAAGAGTACATAAGACACCATTTCAATGCTCGTTCATCGCCTTCTAACAAATAATACATGTATGTATGTGTGAATTGGTCATTAATTTCTGAATAAATAATGAGCTCATTCATAAGCCATTACATTGGCAATCAAAAAACACCACTAACAACATCAAAAACTTGAGTAAACATCAAACTCTCGAATATTTCCTCTATTTTGCACACACTTACACACTCTGTTTGAAATTCATTGGATGCCAATAATTAGTTATGCCAATAACATAAATACTTTTATATTTTTGTTTTTGCATATTTTAGAGCAGAGATGTTAGATAGCTACTCTCTCACTCTATTTAAAATACCTCATAACAAATAAAGCGTGCGTGTGGTTTCCGTAAGTGTTCTGAGGAGGGGGTGGGGGTTGTGAGTTTTGATGATATGAGTATTAACCAAATTTGTTTTGACATTTTTTGATGTTTTGCTCTTTATGTGTGTGTTGTTTTTGTATGCGAGTGTTTGCTTTTGTGAGTAAATTTAGATTAGCTTTTGAAAAGTGCCGGTAGAAAACGAGTTCTCTCCACATGACAAATATTGGCTATTTAAGGCGGCAGCAACAACAAAAACCACATGACGGCAACCTTGAATTTAATGTTTGTTTTTCCATAGAAAGGAAGAAAAAGAAATTTTAGTTTTTTTTTTCATTTCTTTTTTATCTAATATTAATTATTAAATGAATAACCATTTAAAGGGGTATTATGTCAGTTATGTAGAGACAAGAGATTTGCAACTCTCTCCCTCTCTCTGCTATTCACAATAGTGAGTTTGAAAGAAGAGTTGTTGAGTTGGTCGTGTGTTATTAAAATAGAGTTCGCATCATTGTGGTTTTACTTGAATGGAATTTAAAATAAAAAAAAATGATTTAAATTGGAAATTTCTAGGTGATTCCATAAACTATAACAGGTTATTTTCAAAATCATTAGAAAAAAAATAACAAAAATGCTAATAAAAATCGGGTTTTATTTTACAAGTAGACTGAATAAGAAATTTCTGTTATTTCCGAAAATAATTTTCTCGGGCATGCATTCATCCGATCAGAAATAATTTGAGAACAAATATGTTAATATGGCATTATGTATCTTTTGGCACAAACCCCTCTTTAAAACCTAATTTTTTCTGGAAAATGATTTCCTTTGCGGATTTTTTGTTTCTTATAGGAAAAGAGAAAAATATGGATTTCATCGAGGATTTGTTAATATTTTATTATTATTATTTTTCAGAAACTATTATTATCTTCTAGGGAATCATTTTCTCTGATTTTATAATACAGTGGACAAATTTATATCTTGTGAAAATTATTGATAATATCGCCTCAAAATATTATCTAAAATTATCCACTATTCCATTGGAAATTGTTCTAAATAACATTATACACCATGGCTCTGGACTCCTTATCCAGATAATAAAAAAATAAATGTCAATTCTCCATTTTGGTCTAATATGTCCTCCATCATAGATGAAGAAAAATTTCATTACAAATTTCATTCAAAAAATTAATATTCTCATCTGTTTTTTTATATTTCCGAACCACTGTAAAAATATATATAGCCATGAAAAACTATTTTTAAAAAATATCTCATAAATTATATTTCATTGTTTTTTATTAATAGAAACGAATTCTTATGACAACGAAAATATTTCCATTAATTTTCACCTCTTTCTTCTGATGATCATCAGTATGTGTTGATCCCCATCTAATAATAAATGGCCGAAACATAATGACCAACATAAATAAATTCTGGCTGACAAAAAAAAAAAAAAAAAACTGACAAGGCTAGTTAATGCTTTTGTTTTGAAAAGTATTTCGCAAGGCAAAATTAAAGAGACAAAAACAATCATCAAAGAAATTTAAGTTTTAGTGAGACGGTGGGACCTTGATAAATTAACCAAAATTCTAATATGAAAAGTGATAACATTTTTGTTGAATAATTTTGGACTAAAAGTGAAAATGTCTTTACAAAGTTAATTAAGATTTCTTTAGAAACATTTAGAAAAAAAATTAGGGAATTGAATGAAAAAATAGGTTCTCAAAATCTGAAGTCAAAATTTTCTTTACAGCCATTTTGGGAAAAATAGCCCTTGGAAAATATTTTCAATTAATAAACAAAAATAGATTTTTAAAATCTATAATATTGAATTAAAAAGGTATTATTTAACTTTTTCTTTTACAAAAAGACCCCTCCCCCTTGACTACGCCCATGTTATGGAATACTTCACGCAAATTGGTACAGTCAGCCAAAAACTTTTGTCATACGATTTTAGCCGTATTCCCTCGCATTTTTTCACATGCCACAGCATCAGCATTTCGCATACGTATTAACAAAATATTTTTAGAAAAATCCCATAAATTAGCAACACAAAATAAAATAGAAAATAATAAAAAAAACCAACAACAACAAACATTTATGTATGACACTGAAAATATATAGATTTCCATCAATTTTCATTAGCATTGATGATGATGATCGCCATCATCATCGACTTTCTGGTCAGCATAATTATGGCAAACATTAACATTGTTGGCTATTCTTGTTTTTGACAAGGCGGAAACTACTTTTGTTTGAAAATGATTTAACGTGACATTCTGTTTGTTTGATTGTTTTGCTACTGTGACCACAAATTTTGGTTTACCACACCAAAAAGGTTTGAGACGATGATGTAAATATTTCGGAATTTTTAAATTTTATTTTCGAAAACAAGTTTCAAATAAACGATACCCGCATAGAAATAAAAAAAAGCGGCAGCATAACAATCATAATGTGTAAGCATTGAAAATTTAGAGCTGACGTCATTTGCTACCACCTTCCATTCCATTCCATTCACTGGCTAAAAACACTAAATCTTTTTTGTACGAATTAGCATAAACAATAAATTATTCCACACATAAATTAGTTCGAAAAATGTTAACCCCCCTCTCTCTAACTATTTTCAGATTGGACAAAAAGACCAAAGAGTGTGCCTTGGCCGAGAACAGTGCCCGCGTATTTGAAAGCCGTTTCAATGAAATCAACGGCAAATACAACCAAGCCTTGGCCGATCGCAAGAAGGCCGATGACCTGGCCAAGGAATTGCAAGCCGAAAACGCTCGCCTCTTGAAGCAGTTGGACGATTTGCGCAAACAACTCGAGGCCGAAACATTGGCCCGTGTCGATTTGGAGAACCAAAATCAAAGCTTGCGCGAAGAGTTGAGCTTCAAGGATCAAATTCATGTACGCGAACTTACCGAAACCCGTTCTCGCCGCCAAATTGAAATCAGCGAATTGGATGGTCGTCTGTCCAAGGAATACGAGGCCAAATTGCAACAATCGCTACAGGAATTGCGCGAACAATATGAATCGCAGATGCGTGCCAATCGTGAAGAAATTGAATTGTTGTACGACAATGAAATTAAGAATCTCCAGGCTGCCGCCGCTCGTGCCAATAATGCCTCAGCTCATGTCCATGAAGAGTTGAGAATGATGCGCACCAAGATCGATGGTCTTAATAATAAGATTAAGGATTTGGAGGGCATCAATGCTGGTTTGAATGTAAGTAGAGGGGCGATTAATTAGCCTTCCAAGAAAATTTATAAGAAAATTGGATAGTTATTAAAATATTGTAATTTTCTTTTCTAGGGCCGCATTCGTGAATTGGAAGACTTGTTGGACAGTGAACGTGCCCGCCACAATCAATATGTCGCCTCCTTGGAAGCCGAATTGGAGCGCATGCGCGACGAAATGGCCAAACAATTGCAGGAATACCAAGATCTCATGGACATCAAGGTCTCATTGGATTTGGAAATTGCCGCCTACGACAAATTGTTGGGTGGTGAAGAGAGACGTCTCAACATCACTTCCCCAGCTCGCAGCAGCCATAATGCCAGCCATGATGCTGCCTATTCCAATGGCTCCCATTTGTCTGTCAGCTCCAGCTCGGCATATCGGTCTGGTCGCGTAACACCCAGTGGTCGCCGTTCAGCTACACCAAGTGGCGGTCCTAGCGGCAGTGCTGTTAAGCGCCGCCGTACTGTTATCGATGAGTCCGAAGATCGCAGTTTGGCCGATTTCACCGTCAACTCAGCTGCCAAGGGTGATCTCCAAATCTTGGAAGCCGACAGCGAGGGCCGTTTCATTAAATTGCACAACAAGGGCACCGATGAAATCAATCTAACCGGCTGGCAATTGACCCGCATTGCTGGCGATGAAGAACTGGCCTTCAAGTTTACCCGTGGCACCAAAGTTTCACCCGGTGAGACAGTCACCATTTGGTCGGTGGATGCCGGTGTTGCCCACGAACCACCCAGCAACCTGGTGATGAAGAAGAAGTGGCCCGTTGCCGATTCTATGCGCAGTATTTTGTCCAATGCCGACAAAGAGGTGAGATTACTGTCGATTTACAACACTTGTAACAAATGTCACATTTGTCGTCACTGTCACCATCTTGAGTTTGATTTAGATCAGTTATGTCGATTTTGTCTAGGAATGGCCATAAAAAATTTAACTAATTTTGTGTTTTTTCCCCACCCATTTCTATTGCAGGATGTTGCCAGCTACGAACGTGTCCGTTCAAACATTTCCAGCCATGCCTCGAGGCACAGACAGACCAGCAGCGGTTTCACATTAGGCTCTGGTTCCACCTCAACCGGTGTTAGAAGTCTATTCTCATTGCTCTTCTAAATGGAGGAGGATGGAGAGACGGATGGTGCTCGCCTAGGTTAACACACACACATGAACAAAACATATACACCCAACCACTCATACACACAAACAAACAACAACTCATACAGACACTTACTTACAATACGTGGAACTGAACAACGGACAAAAATTAAACTAGACTTGTACCAAGCCATAGTATGGGAAGGAACGGGACAGAAACTATTTTTGTTGATCAGCTAAATGTTAGTGTCAGAAAACAAAAAGGAAATATCTTCAAGAGGAATAGAAAGATGGAAAAATGGGTACACTACTCTGAACACTATTCTGAAATCTATTCCAGCTTACTTGCATTGTGGTAATGACTTGTCCGAGGTCCGAACAGAACTCTTACCACCTACTATTTTTCTCAGTTATACATATCAAGAGACTACTTTTTCTACTTTATTTGTTTTTACTATTTAAGATTATTCTTTTGTTTTCAAACAATTTCTCATTTTTTGTTTTTTAATTTTTGATTTTGTGGTAAAGTTGAATATTTTTTTTTGTATAATTTTACTATAACTTAATTTTTGTAAGAAGAAAAAAATTACAAAAAACCCCCCAAACTATCCAAGAATACTGAGTATTCTTGCAGGAGACGTAAGTATCAAAAAATATATTTTTTATAATTTAAAATAAAAAACAAATACAACAAAAACAGTAAAAATAGAATATAATTTTGTAAACCTTGTTGAGTTTTATTATATTTTAAATATGTTTTTGTTGCTCTTAACTTTAATGATTCCTGGATAATTTAGTATTTAGAAGACAAAGGCAAAATGTAAATAACATCTGTACTGGCCACTCGAATGAATCGAATGATGATAGATAGATTCGGATCCTGAGATCCCAAACAGCATTTTCAATACAACAACAAACAGTACTTAGGCATGGGCTTAGAGTGTACTTCGTTGAATAATTTTCATTCCAGTTAAGAATGATTAAAAATTTTTGAATTAAACTGAAAATATGCTAGAACAACAACACCTATCCATACCAAATGTTGGCACTCGCCCACCCACATTTTTGCTTATAATCTCAAATATTACAGCAGCACTTCAAGCTTCAAGTATAGAACAAATAAATAAAACAATATTGAAAAAAGCAAGCATTATATTCTGAGTGTATTGAATGTTGCATTTATAAAATAAATCTTTGAAATTTGTTATATTGCAGCTATGCAATGCATTTTATGTGTCTATCGCTTCAAACTATATATACACAACAAATATATACGTAGATACATACAAAAATATATATATATATGTTCATATAACAGTAACAAAAATAAAAAATGAAAACCAATAAAGAAAAACATATTTACGTTTTAAAAACACAACATATTTAAAAAAAATAATAAATATATATGTATGTAGGTTGCAAAACAGCAACAACTACAAACAAAAAACCAACAACAATTGTTTTATTTTTTTCGAAATGTAGAATTGCAGATGATGATGATGACGATAATCAGCTTTAAGCGGATTTGTGGCCAGCTTTGGTCGGCTTTGTATGAAAAGTTGAATGGCTTTAAACATTTTAAATCTCCATGAATATCCTGCGCTTTGGTTAGTTTTCAATACACAATATGTTGTCGTTATTAAGTGCCGGATTTATAAAGTCCGAAATAAAACAATTACATCCAACAGACACATTCCATCCAACACACACACACACACATATATATATATATATATATATATATATAAAAAAAAGTCCACTTCCCTCCCCCCATTTAAAAAATATCATATCGTCTGCATGTAATTCGGACGAGAGCGTGAAGCGAGTGTTTGCAACGCTATTGACTTATCAATTGCAACGATAAAATTATTATTTAAGGATATCAGATGCAACAACAACAACAACAAAATAAGTTTGTTTTCATTTATCCGCTTACATGTTTGAATTTAAATTATTTTCCATTCATGCGTTATTATTCGATCAAATCGTATCACATCGCCGCCAGATTATGTGGAAGATTATATATGGGGTGTATATCCCGTTATTTGTTTGTAGTTGGTTTGTGATGATCAGTTAGTCAAAATGCTCATCACTCAATTAGGCAAATAAAATACGAATGTAGATATAAAAGGGAAGGCTTTATAATCGATCCAGATATTCGTGTGACTGGGTCATAAATACTCCTTTGAGTAATAAAAACTCAAAACTTGTTTATTCTAAAACTATTTAGAATTCTTTCCCATACTTAAAAAAAAAAAAACTGAGAAAAACTTTGAGATTGATTTGATTTTTCAGAATGTAATAAAATAGCTCATTAAAGCTGATTTAGAACAGACTATTTGATACTACTGGTATATCGAAAAACAGTTCTTTCCTTTTAGGTAATATATCCCAATTAAAAATGAAAGAATTGGGAGATTCGAAGAAATCATTAACGTCAGATATGCCACTGAAAATAGTTAAATGTACAATAGCAGTTCAATAAAAATACGCTGAATATACCGTGCAACCCTCCCAAATTAAACGAAATAAAAAATGCAATAGAACAAATATCGAACGAAGCATGATGATGTTTAACCGGCGGAAGCCCTATAATTCGACGACAGCTGAGATACTTCGACCTCAGTAGGGAGTAAGAAAGAATGGCATTGTTGTGAAAATTTTGTAAATTTTCCTACATATATGATTTATACTACAAGAACCCGAACTGACAAATTACATCCACTTTATATGGCAAATGGGGCTAAAACTTCAAAAATAGGGTGGTGCATTTATATGGGGGCTACTACTACTTAATACGAAATTACACTTAATTTGTTGAAAAAACATAATTACAACCTTAAAAATAACGAAAATTTATTGTGGGGGAGATGGAGGCACCTTTGAACGTGGAGCACCATTGAACAGCGCTCATAAAATCTCGGTTTACAAATTTGTTCGACCCGCAATAATATTTTTTTATGCTAATCTTGTTCTCTAGCGGCGTTAATAACTTTGGCTAGCTTTTTCAGTTGTCGGCAAAATGTAGATGAGTGAACATTTTTTAGCTGTTTTCGCTGTGTCATTGTAACTTTTTTCTGATGTAAGGGTGCAGGAATAAATCCGTTTCGGTTCGGTTTCTTTCGTGAATATGAACATATTGCATATAATTTAAATTCATTTCTATAAAATGAAGTGTTCTTGTCAAAATCGTAGAATATTGGTAATAAATAATAAGTTGCGTTGAAGCTGTGACGGTTGTAATGTAAAAGAATGGGTGAAAATGTGTTGAAGCTAAACTACATAACGCACGTATATGTGATCAGTGACTAAGTTGAAGAATACTCCCTGTACAATATGTTTCTAATGTACGATTTCTTGATATAATCAATGCATCCACCAAAAACGGATGCTGACATTTTGAAGACGAATTTTCAATGTTTTTTGAATTTTTCTTATAATCAGGACGCGCATGCAGATAATGGTCTAAACTGATTATAGGATTGTAGAACTCGTGATTTTTCTTCGTTTAGTGTATATCTTATGAATGTGCTCACCGTAGCTTATTTGCAATCGGGTTCCAAAGACGAACATTTGTTGCGTAAATTTTTATAAAAAAAACATATTTTTCGAGTCAAAATTTAAGAAAGTCCATTCAAATTTCTTGGAATCCCGCGTGATTTTATTTTTTTTTTACGTGCCGGATCTAATGAGCCCAGCCATGTTCAATTCCGCTCAATAAAACGCTGGATATAAGTACCTTGAATGTGGGAAAAACTGCAAAACCTTTTTTTGACTAAATCGCGTATATAATCGCGATTTTCTTCGTATTGTTTTTATATACATTCATGTTTGTATGATCATATTCGCAAATCTGTGTGAAAATATGACAAAAATACATTGATGCGAGAATAATAAATAGGTGTACTTTTGTGTATTTTCATAGGAGATTACTGAAATCTGATGCGCATAAAAATATTATGAACGTTGCGTCATTTTTAGCAATTTTTAGGGGTTTGCATAGTAAAGTGCATCGAGGGGAACACTTTGGCGGCTAAATGAAACCTCGAAAAATTCATAATTATTGGAAGAGATTGATTCGGTTTATACGAAAACTGCATGCGCATCAACTGACTTCAACGAATACGCGATTTGTATGCTTTTTAATGTTGATCATTTTCATATACTGTAACTGCAATATATTTGGTCATTCTTAAAGTCAAAACACTTAACAGAGGAATCTGACGATATTTAACAATCATCTGAAAGAATTTGTAGAAGAAATCGTCAGATGTTTTAGAAGATCTAGACAAAACCGTATTCTCATAACCAAACTAAAAAATCAAAGATTGAACAAAAAAAAAAAAAAAAAAAACATTTTGTGGCAATTCAAAAATTAATTTATTTTATTTTCAGATATTTTCATGCTGTTATTTGTTTTTCGCGACTATTAAACCGTATTTCAAAGTGATTTGACTAGTATGCAAGGAAAACAAATGTGCTTAACCATTTGTCAAGAAATTCGAGAATTAATTTAATTTATATTTGAAATACAAGATTGGAAACCGCTATAACTTTTGTGCGCAGCATCCGAATTTGTGAACGAATCAGCATATTTTCATTAACCTATGTACCAAACATCATGAATGTGCTTGTAAAAAAAATGTTCAAAATTTTTTTTATGGAATTTTGTAATTTCCCATATGTATATTCAATGTTAGTTAAAAGTTATAAAAAACTAACATAAAAAATTTTATGAGACTTGAAAAGAATTATCCGAGAACATTATATTTTTTGGATTTTAATAATTATGAGCTCTTGGGAATGTCAATCTGGCTTTCCGATTATTTTCAGAAATAATATAGGGTAATATATCAAGATTAGGACATGTAGATCTGCTGCCACAGTTCGTCCACATTCTGTTCTTGAGAACTCTTTTCTCTTCTTTTCCCTTCTTCTTTCAGGTACTAAGGATGATCACAATGGACAATTTTCTCCGAGTAAACGGTTTTTATAAACAACCGTACATCCCTAACCTAGCCTTCTGTTTTTGAGGTTATATCCAAAAATAACTGTCTCATAAATTC